GGACAGTTGGGGGCTCAGAGTCAGGACAGAGGGACGGGAGGGCGCCGGCCCCACCCTGGCCGCCTCCCCCTTCCCGGGCTCTCCCGGGTCCTCAGCCCGCCATCGCCAGCTCGAGAGCTCCACCTACTGGACGTTGGTCCCCACATCCGGCACGCCAGGGGCTGAGACTCTCGAAGGCTGAGATCGTCTTGGCTTCTCAGCCCTGGGAGCGAGCGGTGGGAGGGAGATGAGCTCACTCACCTCGGGTCCAGCAGCTTTGGAAGCAGAGACCTCTTTAAAAATACGTTATGGGGGGAACGCCTGGGTGGCTCTGGTCATGCTCTCGTGGTGCGTGGGTTCGAGCCCCGCCTCAGGCTCCGTACTGACAGTGCAGAGCCTGCTTGTGATTATCTCTCCCCTTGCCCCTCCCGCACTTTTTTCTCTCTCTCTCAAAATAAACTTTAAAAATAAAAACAGGGGCGCCTGGATGGCTCAGTCAGTTAAGCGGCCGACTTCGGCTCAGGTCATGATCTCCCGGTTCTGAGTTCGAGCCCCGCCCCGTGGGGCTCTGTGCTGACTGTCCAGAGCCTGGAGCCTGCTTCGGCTTCTGTGTTTCCGTCTCTATCTGCCTCTCCCCTGCTCATGCTCTGTCTCTCTCTCTGTCCCTCTCTCTCTGTCAAAAATAAATTAAAAAACATTTTTAAAACTTTAAAAATAAAATAAAATAATAAAAATACACTACTGAGGACGCCTGGGGGCTCAGTCAGTTGAGCATCTGAGTCTTGATTTTGGGGCAGGTCGTGATCCCAGGGTGTGGGATCTAGCCCGGCTCCAGGCTTCATGCTCAGCATGGATTCTTAAGATTCTCTCTCTCTCTCTCTCTCTCTCTCTGTCTCTCTGTCTCTCCCCCCCCGCCCCTCCCCTGCTCTCTGTATCTCTTTCTCTCTCAAATAAAAACAAATATGGAGTCAGAAAAACCTATGATGGTAAGAATAACTTCTTGCCTCGCCCTTTCCATGGGTCCTGACCTTTCTGCCACTCCTTTCCAGCCAGAGGTGAGGAACCAGTGCTGAAGCTGAAAAGGGCAGGGCAAAGGGGTGGGGAGTTCAGGAGTCCCCAGTGGCTCCTGGTGACAGTAAGGCACAGCTAGAAGCAGCCTCAGGCTCCTCTGTACCCTGTTAGGAGGGGGGCAGGTAGACCTGGGCAAGGAAGCAGCTGCCTGCAGTCATATGAGGGGCCAAAAAGCTGTGAGAGCCCCCAAGTATGGGTTGTCCTTCCCCTCCCCCTTTTGCCTGCTACAGTATATGGCTGAAATCCCCATGATTAGAAACATGACTCATTGTTTCTTTCAATAAACATTTATTGAGCACCTACTGTGTGCCAGGCACTGTGCTAGGCGCTGGGGATACATCAGTGACTAACACACAGTCCCTGTCCTTGAGGAGCTCACAGTCTATTAGAGGGGCAACATACATAAACACATAGCTAAGGAGCTACCATGTGCTAAGTGCTACAGTAAGAGGTATACACAAAGTGCTGCGGGAGCCCAGAGGAAGGAGGGATACATCAGCTGCTAGGGGGTGAGGAGCGGGTCTCCTGACCCCATTACACCGTCTTCACAAAGGCAAGGATGTTGTTGCCACATGACCCTGGCAAAAATGAACCAGTCTCCTGAGGGTCTCCTCCGGCCCTCTCCCATAACTAGATCAGCACAGGTTAGTTGACCAGATTAGCTACTTTAACACTTTGAATTAGGAAAGAAACTGGACAGGGAAGTTTCTTTAGGGGCAGGGGTGTTCAAAGTAGTAACAACTCTTGGGTGATAAGGCTGGGGGGTGGGAGTGGGGGCATCATGAGGGCACTGAGCCAGAGAGGTCCGGCCCTGGGCAGTGGAGCACCTAGGGTGAGTGCCTGTGCAGAGGGGAGGTCAGAGGTCACCAGCCTCAGACTTTCATCCCCATCTCTCAGCAGCTCAATGGGTTCACTGATGCTCACTAGATGGTTCATAGCTTGCCCCGCTCTGTGGGTGGTACAGCCCCCCGCCCCTCGAAAGGTGGCACACTAAGTGGGGAGACTAGGCCCAGGTCATTGAAGATTTAAGTAACAGTTTGTGATTATAACAGAGGAGATGTCACTATTCATGAGCAGTTGCCAAAAGAGTGGCAATTGGTGCGAATTTCAAATGAAGAACTCAGGGGTAGTCTGGTCTAGGGAGGCAGCTTCCATGAACAGAGTCTTAAAGGATGGATACGATTTAATTGGTACTAACAGGGTGGGAGGAGCATCCTGGTTGAGCAGAACCAAGTAAAGCAAAATCGCAGAGGTGGGAGACTTCAAACAGAGGCAAACTCAAAGGCCAGGGGATCCCTGTTTGGAGCAGGACCCCGGGGGTCAGGGAAGCAATGTGAGAGATGACTAGGGAAGTCGGTTGGGGCTTGATGGTGAAGGGCCTTTGCCAGAAGGTCCAAGGACTTGGTACCTTCCTTTTGGAATTACTGCCTTGAGTCCTCAAATATTCCCTCCCCTCTCCTCCAGGACCCCTGGACTGCTTTGTGGTTCAGCAAATTAAGAGTTAATGCCCGGCTGCCAGAACAGATGGGAGGCTAAAGTATTTTGAGTATCACCCCTACCTATAGGCAATGAAGAGCCATTGAAGGCTTTTTAGCAGAGAAAGAACAGGACTGGTGCCCCAGCAGGCAGATCAGAGAGGGGGACGGGTCACACTGCGGTGTGTTGGTGTGTCGGGAAAGGGATATAGTCGAGTAAGTCTGAGCTAGGCTGGAGGCTCTGAGAATGTGGAAGAAAGGCTAGATTTCGGAGACATGGCAAACGGCCTGGACTTCAAGAGATGGGGGAGGGTTAGGGTCAAATGAAGGCAGCCGTCAGATGGCTCTGAAATGTCAAGCTTAGAAGGTCAGGAAAATGGTGGCACCTTTCACAGAAATAGGCAAGTCATGACAGCTTTTTGTTTTGGGGGAGGGAAAAGTTTTGTGTGTGTGTGTGTGTGTGAAGACTTTCAAATCCATTTTTGATAGAAGGGCTGTGTTTGAGGCATGACAGGCATCTGGATGGAAATGTCCAGCAGGCTGCTGGAAATGCAAGCAGGAACTGAGGAGAAAAGTGGGGGCTGACTCTCTCAATTTCAGCCCCATCCCCAAAGAGCCAAAGCAGAGCCAGGAGAGCGGCTGAGACCCTTGGTGGGCACCCACATTTAAAGTGGCAGATGTGGGGCCAGCACAGGTACAGAGGGTAGCCCAAGAACCCGGCTACTGCAGGAGGGGGAAGAAAGTAGTGTCACGAGCCATGAGGGCTCACAGGGACTGAGAACTGTGAAGAAGACACTTCATGTCACCATGAGGGTATCAGTGACCTTCAGATGATGAGTTCTATGGATTTGGGGCGGGGGCAGGGCCACCCCTAATCCATGCAGCAACTTTGTGCAAATTTTGTTTGAAAGGTGACTCTTTCTTGGGATGTTTCACTTTCCATCATTGGGAATTTGTCATAATAAACTGATCATATTAGAAAAAGGCATTTTAATGCCGAGTGTTGGAGATGTGTAATAAATACATCTGCACATCCATATATGTTTCCTTTCCAGGGAGAGAAGGGGGAAGCACAAGAAGAGAGTGGGAGAGAATGATAGGAGGCTCGGCAGTGACCAGAAGGAAAGAGAGAACAACCTGGGGAGGTAGTTAGGTCTAATAGATGGTTTTATACTGCGGACACAGAAAAGGTCCTGAGGCACTGATTCACATTAACCAAATTCACCAGATCATATCATTGTTTCTGAGGCTGTCAACGTGTTTTAACTCTTAGCCTTGCCCCCCAATTTTCGCAGGAGAGAGGCAAGCTAATTCAAAGGGGAAGGAGGAGTTAGGCCAAGGGTTTGACCTAATAGAGGATCAGTTGAAACTTCCTCAGAAAGAAGAAAGAGGGAAGCAAGGAACCATGTAGAGATGGGAGAAGTGCCATGGGGGCTCACATCTGCTGGCTCCTGTCTTCTTGCTGCAGGAGGAATCAGGGCCAGGTGCAACTGAAAGTTGGCGATGAGTGTCAACAGTCCACTCGAGGACTGTGATAGCCATTGTGGGGGAGAGTGGGTTGGCAAGCCTACAAGGTGAGAAGGCACGCTGAGCAGCAGGCACACACGGGTGAGGACGGAGGCAGAGCCAGCATGCACGGCGACACAGCTGTCCCAGCAATGCCTGACAGCAGGGAGGTATCGGGATGACACTCATCAAGAGGGAGTCCACACCCTCGGCACAAACATTCAATTAATTTCAGCCCCTGCCTGGGGACTTTCTATCTGGGTCTGACCTTGGCCCTTCTAACCGCATCTTCCCCAGCATATGTGCCCACTGAAATCCTCATACCCTGGACCTGCTCCAGCTCTGTGACATCTCTCTCAATTTGGGGGATCCAGCATGTACCCCACAGCCTCAGAGCAACTGAATCTCGGTTTGTACAGAGGGCACTAGAGAATGCTTTCTTTTAAAAAACACTCCCCATCTCTGCAGCTGACCCGCAAAGACACACACACCCTTGAAGACCTCACAGCTACACGCCCATCCTCCCCAAAGAAACAGAGATACAGACCCACGAGTACACACAAATACATACAGAGATATTCACATATGGGATAGGAAATTCCCTGTGGAGGGAACGTAGATGGTGAAATATAGCCCCACGACAGGACTCTTCCCCCAGAGCCCCTGCCTCAGCCCTGGCCACAAACTTCTCAGGAGGTTTTCGCTCCATCACCAAGTCAGCCCATTACCTGACAAGAGCATATCCCCTAGTGCTCTTGAAGGCCACGGTCTGACGCCACGGATGCTCAAACTGGGCATGGCTTGGCCATGGTGACACTGGGCAGGGGTCGGGGACAGGGGATCTGGTGTATTGACATCCCACTGAAAAGGGCAGGTGTGCTGTTTCAGTCAGTCTCTGCTACAGGAAGTCCATATAAAAATGCTGTTCAACTTTACCTGTTGGGACACACCTCCCCCGACCCCCTTCATTTATATGTCATGGGGCTCCATCTTTATAAGCGAAGTGGGATTGAATGGGGAGAAGGGGGCTGGGGCTGGGGATCTGGCAAGCAGGCTCCCAGATGTGGTCACATTAGGCTCAGCCATAAACAGGGACCCTGAGCCTGAGGAGAGCTCAAGTTCAGCCACTGGGGTCAGCCCAACAGTGGGGCAGCTGGGAGAAGAGAAAGTCTGGTTCCCCGGAAGGGAACCCCTTGAAACCACCTGGGTTGGAAGTGGCTGAAGGTGAGCCCGATCCCTCAGGAGCTCCCTCAGGGTCTCTTCAGGAACCAGCAGCCCCTCCATGGGGGCCCCAGTCACCATGCCCTGCACATATGAGGAGGGCCTCAGTGGCCCCTCCTTGACCCCAGGGGCTGCTGTGGCACCCGAAGTCCTGATGAAGGCAGCGATGACAGTCCCAGGGGCCTGAGAGCTGGGCCCTGCTGCTCCAGCCCCTGTGACGGAGGATGGCGCTGGATTGGTCGGACGGTTGGCCCCAGCCAGAAGTTGTGGGAGACCACTAAGAATCAGCGGAGCCCCTGGTGCTGCCACCTGACTTTCTTGGAAACTGGTGTTCAGGGGGAAGGAAGCCTGCAAAGTGAAGGTGTCCTTGAAGGTCGAAGCAGGCGGAACACTCTGGAGAACAAGCTGGGTTGAAGCAGTAGTACTGGCAGGAGGCCCGTTGGTCAGCACTGTGGTCAGTGGGATTGTCTGCAGGGTCAGGGCCGAGCCTGACCCCACAGGGGCCACTCCTAGGTGGATGTTGCTGGGCACTGAAGAAGTACTGAGAAGAAACAGAAAACAGATTTGGTTAAGGCAGAAGGCATCTCCCAGCTGGCTAGGGAGCAGGGCACAGGAGGAACAGAGCTGAAGGTGTGGTTTCTTTGCTGTTGTAGCAGCCAACACCTACTGAGTACTTAGTATAGGTCAGGAACCGTTCTACATGCCTGGCGTGTGGTATTTCACTCAATCTCCCAAACAACCCACAAATTGAATAAGATTAATAATGTGATTTTACAGCTTGAGGAAACGGAAGCACGGAGAGGTTATGTAACTTGCCTTAGACCACACAGCGAGTCACAGGGACCCACATCTAGGCTTTCTGACCCCCAAGCTCATGTTGCTCACCACTCCGCTCTATTGCTTTCCCTCCTCAGGAGAGTACCTTATCCACGCCAGTGTAGTGAGAGTAACATACACATAACTCAAAGCCCAACCTTCTCAGGGAAAATTTGGAGGCACTGAGCATGGACAAGAAGTAGCGAGAGCTTTCCAGGTGGCCCTGGAGGGCCTGAGGGAAGCAGAATGGGTGTCTCTGTACCATCCTCCATTGCCTCTTTTCTGGAATGGAGGAGGCTTGGGGAGATGGGCCCAGATGTGGAGGTACCTGGTGGCTACTTGGGGAGCACTCTGAAATAACCAGAACAGCCCCAGCTGGTGACAGAAGCTGCCCAGGTCAAGTGCTGGCATTGCCATTATTTTAGTGTGCGGCCTTGGGCAAGTCACTTTTCCCCTCTTGACCAACAGGTGCCCTACTGGCTTCCCAGGGATTCTGGGAGTGTCCCGTGAGACTGGAGACATAGCAGAACTCCACAAGAAGTTGAACACTCTCCCCAAACACGGTCCTAGAAGACCTGTAATGACTCCGGGGCCCTTACCTCATGGCTTTGGGGAATTTGGCCTGGCTCTCCGGGGGAGGGATGAGCACGGCGGAGGTAGTGGGGATCTCCTCATCTGCACACAGTCCCACTTCCAGATTTGCAGACGGCTGTAAGCCAACGCTCTGAACCTTTGGCTTTTCCCAGGAAGGGCCTGCCTTGCCCTGGGGAGCAGCTCTGGCCGAGACCCTGGAGCTGGCTCGCCTGGTGGTGCTGGCGGAGGAGGTGCAGGGAGTGGAGGCCCGAGGGGAGGCCGCCGTGACTTCACTTCTCTCATCCTCATCTTCGATCACCACCAGGTCCTTGGGCATCTCCTTAAACTGGTACACCAGCCTCTGCCCTTCCACTTTGGCAAGGATGCCTCTTTGGTAGTAGTATCTGGGGGACGAGGGCCGGGGATGTGGGGAGTTAGGCCGGGACACGCCACCCTCCAGGGCAGGTCCAGCAGGAGGAGGGTGGCAGCCAGGCAGCCAGATGGGAGCCCAGGGCAAGGGAGCCCAGCCAAGGCCAACTCTTGGACTTGGAAGGCTTTTATGAAATTCCTGAGATCTCCCCCTGAGGACACAAAGGGCCACGAAAAGGGGTTCTAAATGTTAGCCCTGCCTTGCTTTGGGGCTAAGGACAAGGGATGAGTAAAGGATGGGAGGGGATGGACGTTGGGAAGCTCAGCTGTCCCCCGGCCTGAAAGGTCAATGATGGGTAACTTGGGCCTGTCTCCCTGGGTCTCTGGCTGGCAGAAGGCCCTTCCTGGGGATGCGGGGTCCTTAAGGGCTCTTCTGTTATAAAAAGAGAAAAAGCCAGGACAGAGATACACGAGGGAGGGGGCTGTTCCTCCCAGGGGTCCGGGAACAGGCTTAGGGCAAGCACGTGGGAGAGCTGGGAGATCCTAAGGCAGGAGGGACGTCTTGGACAAGGAGAAGAGTTCGGTAACCCCCCACCCCCACCCCCGGGCAGGGACTCGGTGCCCCAGCAGCTCCTACCTTAGCGCCCGCCCCATTGTCTCATAGTTCATGTCGGGCTTATTTTTCTGCTTCCCCCACAGCTTGGACACGGCTTTGGAGTCCACCAGCTTGAAGATGCCTTTCTCTCGCTGGGTCCACTTGATGTACTTGGGGCAGGTGTTCCTGTCTTGCAGCAGTGCGAGGAGGAACTCCCACAGATAGATAGTGCTGCCTGCAGAAGGGCACGTGATGAGGGGCTGCCTAGGCCCTCCAGTCCCCCTCCCACCTCACCTGACTCCCAGCCGCACCTTTGCCATCCTTAGATTTCTTCCGAATGGGGATGCTGGGGTCAGTGACTGGTGAGGTACTGCGGTTGCCCTTGGTCTTCCGGACTGTGAGGGGAAGCAGGGAGGAGGATGAGGCAGAGACGAGACGGCAGTGAGTGCTCCAGGGTGGACTCCCGAGAGGGAGGACCCCGGAGCTCCTCGAGTAGGGTGCCAAGGCAGACAAGGAAGAGCCGGGTCGACAAGACCAGAGGCCCACGATCACCCTCCACAACCACAGCCCTCAGGTTCCTGCACTTGCCCAATGGCCCGCCCTCATTTTCAGGCCCCAAAGGTACACCAGAACACGACTGCAATGCGGTAGTGGTTACAAATGAGTCCCCTTTAGAAGAACACAATCCACCTAGCCTAATGTTTGAAATGGAAAGGTAGCCTCGGGGCACCTGGGTGGCTCAGTTGGTTCAGCGTCGGACTCTTGATTTCAGATCAGGTCATGATCTCATCTGCACTTGTAATTCTCTCTCTCTCTGCCCCTCCCCTGCTCGTGCTCTCTCTCTCTCTCTCTCTCTCTCTCTCTCTCTCTGAAAATAAATAAACATTAAAAGAGAGAGAGAGAGAGAGAGAGAGAGAGAGAGAAGGCAGCCTAATGGGGCAGCTGTTGTGCAGGTAAGTGTGACACTGAGGCTTTGGTTCCCTCGCTGACAAGGCAGTGGCAACCAGTCATTACCTAAGGAAATCAATAACACCGGGGCTTGGGAAAGCCCAAAGTCCTCTCCCACATATGGCCCAAGCACCACAAGCTTGGAGAAGGAAGATAAGCACACAGGATGAGGCCTCTTTTTTTTTTTT